GAATTGGCTAAGAGTTAACCACTTCTATCTTCTTGTATTTGGGGAGATTCAGCCAACAGAAAAGCCCAGATAGTCTCTGGGCCTCTGAAACACCTGGAAAATAGCAGCCCACCAAGGTGGGGGGTGGGGGCTGATGCCTCCCTTCCAGACTCTTTGTTAGGGAAAACTGACTTCTCAAATCTTTTATGAAGTACTATGCAAATGCAGCGGCTGCTATCCAGCCTATTAGGTTTTTTCCCTCTTCCATCAAATATCTCCAGCTCTCCAACATTAACTAGTTAGCCTACAATTCAATTCTGACATTAACTCCCCAGAGCTAATATCTGAAGACTCCACAGGTTTAAGGGCTCAGTTTCACAAGACTGCCTTTTCTTCACAGACCAATCACAAGTAGAGTCCCCAGGTTACCCACACTTCTATCCGACTTGGCTACCAATTGAGGGGTTCCCACAAACCCTCAATTTCGATAATCCCTCAGATTCGATAATTTGCTAGAATGACTCCAGAATATAGAAAATGCTTTCCTTAGCTATTTATTACAAAGAATAGAACTCAAGAATAGCCAAATGAAAGAGACGCATAGGGCAAGGTGTGGGAAGGGGGACACAGCTTCCATGCTCTCTCCCAGCTACTCCATGTCTTCAACCCAGAAGCTCCCCAAACCTCATCAATTAGGGTGTTTTGCGGAGATTTCATTATGGTTTTTCATGACTAAATTAATCTCCAGCCCCTCTCCCCTCCCCAGAAGCTGGGGCGTTGGGCTGAAAGTTCCAGACCGCTAATCAAGGCTTGCTCTTTCTGGTGAGAAGCCCACCCTTATCATTTAGGAAATTCCAAGATTTTTAGAAGCTATGTGCCAGGAACTGAGGACAAAGACTAAATATCTTTCTTATTATATCCCAGTACCCCATTATGTTTACCTGACTTGTAAAAAAAAATTCTAGACACCCTCCTTAGGGTTTTAACCTTTCTGGCTCCAGCTGGTACCCCCTCTCTGAATACTCTCCGTATCCCTTAAGAGATTGACCAGAAACCTCTGATTTGTTCTTCATTAGGCTTTTCAACACATAATTAGTTCCCCTATGGCAGACCTCTTTATCTGTCGCCTCCAAATAAATTATTCACAGGAACAAGCATTCTCAGAGTCTTGGAACTGAATATCCACTCTACCTCTCTTTCTCCCAGAAGACTCTAAGGCTGGAAGTGGTAAGGGTGGACTTAAATGGTCCAGGAACTCACTCTCACCCCCTTTCACACAGGCATCCTTTCAATTTTGGGGGGGTGGGGTACCTTCTTTGACCTCTGGGTCATTGATGTCCCATAAAGGAGAAGAGGGTCATTTTGAGTGAACAGGGAGGCCTGTTGGCTCTTACTTGTTTAAGTCTCCACTGGGAAACTCAGAGCTGGGGATCTTGAGATGCTGGAACGCAAGACCAAGAACTATACTAATTAATATGGGATGAGATTTTGACTGATGACCTCTGTGCATTTTGCCGCACTGGCTTCCAGTTTCCCTCCTCACACACAGTGAAGAAAGAGGAAAGCACAACAACAAAATCTCAGGAAAACAAAGCTTTCCTCCTATGTTAGCAAAAGATCCTTTGAAGCAAAAACCTCACTCCCTCCTAGGTTTGGGCTTTGATAATCTGTGGCCCCAGGCAGTCTCCGATAGTGAAGGCCTCAAGGCCACACTGGTTGATTTGAAATCCCTGTTTAGGTCCCAGCATGTGACAATGTGCTCCGCTCTGATGACACTTTTCGTTTCTAATAATAGAGCAGATGAAGTAATATTGCAATTGATGTTCCCGGGTATTTGATTGGATAAGTGCATAAACTATGGAGGGGAAAGGGGGTTGTATGGATGGATCACATTAGTATTCCGGCCCTATCAATGTGCTGAGACGTGAACAACGTCAGCCGGACCGATTCCCTGCGTCTGCCAGTCCCGCCACAGATTCATTTGGGATCCTCAAACAGACAAGCCCATAGAGACGAGGGATCAAGGCAGCCGATTAGAGCCAATTGCCTGCTTCGGGGACTGTCAGCCCTTCCAGGCCTGGCAACGGGGAGGGAGGGGAAAGACGAACCTAGCACCGCTGCGGGAAGACACTGAAGCAAGAGCGACACTCATCCCCCCGCTTCTGCCCCGCCACCTTGCAGCACAGGTTTTGAAAGCTGCTCCCCCATCTGAATGGAAACTCAGAACCGCCGGGCGGCGCGTTCCTTCTGGCCCAGTCTTGCAATCCATGTCGAGGGGAAGGTGGTGCGAGCCCACACCAGCGCCCAGCTCCCGGGACAGGGCCAGCAATGCTGCTGAGCAGAACTTGACCGAGCCCCTTCCTCACTGCTAGTTGAAGCGATGCTGCACGGCACAGCTAGAGCTTCTCCGGCTCTCCTTCAAGCTGAAGGTTACCCACCCGTACAGCCAGCCCCAACCCTGTGAGTGCCGCGCCTTGGGTCCTCGCTCCGGCTGCTTGGCGGCGGCGCGCAGGGCAACGACCGGGCCGCCCGCGCCGGGGCGCACTGCACCAGCGGCTTCGGCTTGGTGGATGTGTATGCATGAGTTCTGCACCGAATGGGCGCAAAAAGCGCCCCAGCCGGTCCACCCGCTCCTCGATCTTTCAGATCAGCAAGTCCCAGCTGCAGAGCGGGGAGTGGGAACGCAGGGGCAGCGGCTCCGAGAGCGCCCACAAAACCCAAAGAGCCCTGGACGACTGCAAGATGGTAGGTGAAAACTGCGCTTGCTTTTTTTTTTTTTTCTAGAGAGGAGGTGGGGGAATCGTGTATGTTAATCGTTGGCCTGAGTACCAGCCACTCCCCTACCCTCAGCTCCTCCATGCCGATCGTGTGCACATGCACTATTTTTAAATCTGCAGTTCTCCAGATTCGGGGTGATGCCCAGGTCATAATGGCCCCACAAAGAAGTGCCACGGCAAGGGTCTTGGGATCGGCAGCTATCAGTCGTGCCTCTACCCCCTCTGAGAACGGTGGATGCGAAAGACACGGTGAACTGGCTTGCTCACCGGGAGGGAAGGGATGAGGAGGTGGGGGTGCTGCTCGGTGGGGAAACGGTAGCAAACAAACCCAAACAGAGCGCACGGGGCGCTGCGGAGGGAACGAAGGTTCCAGCGCAGAGACTGTGCGGTTCTGTGGCCCCGCAGGAGATGAATGTTTTGCCCATTACAACCTACCTTTGGCCTTTATCTTCACGCAACTTCAAATCCATATCCTAGCTGTAACAGAGGGGAGCATTCAATGGGAGAGTTCCCAGCATCTCTTTTTAGTGGCCTGGGAGTGGCAATGATAACGCTCCAAATATGTTCTTGTTCTTCAGAAACTGAGTCTGAACGGGTGGGGGTGAGTAGGTCTGGAAACAGAGCTTCCATGCATGACCAGACTTACCGATGAAAAATAAACACTTGCCTTGGACAAAGACTTTACCATCTTTGTGCCTTAATCTTTTAAACAATTTGTAAAAGCTGGAGATGGAGGAGAGTGGACACCCAGGTGTTAGTGATAGCCCCTGTTTATGTACACCAAAATAGGAAATTTTCTGATAAGTGTTTTATGAAAGAAACTCCCTTCTTTTCCAGCTTGTCCAAGAGTTCAACACACAAGTGGCCCTGTACCGAGAGTTGGTCATTTCTATTGGGGACGTCTCGGTCAGCTGCCCCTCACTCCGGGCAGAAATGCACAAGACAAGAACCAAAGGCTGTGAAATGGCCCGTCAGGCACACCAAAAACTTGCTGCCATCTCAGGGTAGGAGACTTTTGGCATTATTTGGTAATTTATATACAGGATGCATGCATGCTGGCAGATATTTATGATGGCTAAGGCCTCAGAGATGAACTCTGCATATCTGATGTTTTAACCATTCGCCCTGAAGTTAGGATTCTCTAGAGAGCTATAAACAAACTATAGGCCTAATCGGAATCAAGGGTAGTATAATGCTTGTCTATATATTGAAGATTTAGGTCACTAAGTGATTTTTCTAAAAAAAAAAAATTAACTTTTAATAGGTTGGCCACAATTTGGAATTTAAAGCTCAATATTTTTTTCACAGAATGTTTGGACATCAAACCAAACTTAAGTCATCGTGCCTATTTTGTCATCTGCTCCTAAACATCTACTGCACAAAAGCCCTGTGTAGTAAAGAGAAATCTTTGGTAAATCCAGATTTGCTAAACTATTTATACCACGAGATAAATTCCTATGATACCATTTAAAATAAAATCCCTAAAATAAAGTCTTAGATATAAATTACTCTCTTCACTGTAGTATATAAAAAGGAAGTTGTATTTTTGTTGTTTGAAATTTCTTGGGCCTTATGGGGGGATATAATTGACATAAAACATTATGTTAGTTTCAGGTATATAACTATGATTTGATATTTATATATACCGCAAAATGATCACCACAGGAAGTCTACTTAACATCTATGTCTGTACAAAGTTAATTTTTTTCTTGTGATTATAACTTTTAATATTTACCCTTAGCAACTTTCAAATATGTAATCTGATATTATTAACTGTGGTTGTCATACTGCAGATTACATCTAAAAGGGAAGTTTTAGCATAAGAAAACTTTTTAAAGGTTGGGAAAATTCACAAATCTAAGTAAACCTAATCTGTTTATGCCCCTCCCCCAAAGTATTTTTATTACATTTTTGGATTCCCAAGCTTATTTTAGGTGATATTATAGTAAATGAAAACTTCTCTCCTGGGACTCCACTTTTTCCTGATCTCTCAATATTGTGAGAACAGTTAGTCACGGATTTTGTCAATAGGTCCTATTTTCAGATAATTACATACAGAAAGGAAAGAGGAATTTTTATACAAATACATTAAGTGTTTGATTCAGTCTGAATATAGCCTTTATCTGTTTATCTGTGTAAAAATGGCTTTATAACAATAGAAGTGCAAGTTAGTCAGACTCGATACTGTTGCAGAATGATCACTTGCAGAAATTATAACTAATTTACCTATTTGAAAGAATCAGTCTTTGCCATCTTTAATGCCAATAATACATCTAGTGATTATTATCGGGATACAAAGATTTGAAAGCCATATGTTGCCTCTCTTAAGAACTACTTTACATTTGACCATAGGCTTTTTATATCATGAAAATAGATTCCCTGTGCTAATCTCCTTGAAGTGAGAGAAAAATAAAAATTACAAATCTATTTTATTATTAGAAATACTGAGAAGCCTTATCCTTTTCTGTTTTAACAGTTATACTGTACTTAACAGGAAGTGAATCTAGGAAGTAGAGAGGAATTAAATGTTTCAGAAATTGGGAGAAGAAATGCAGCTGTGATACAACCCTGACAAGAAGGGAGGAAAAACAATCAAAAACACAAAGGAGAATAGTGATGGATTTAAAATGACAGAGCAAACAATGATTCAGAAGGAAAAACAGGTTTAGAACAGATAATTTTATGCTCAGGGCTAAGGAGTAGCATCTTTGTAAACTGTGTCCAAGAGTTTCCTATAGGGTTATAGCCAGGATCCCTTTAAGTTGGAACTAAAATTGCTGACATGTTCTAATCAGAGAAGGTGGACTGGAGAAATAAACGAGTTCGATTTAGCCTATTTTGCTACACATGTAAAATTCAGGTTCTTTAAATGTTTAGGAAACAAAGAGCCTGAAACTAAGTTAGTTGAGTTATGAGGATTTGAATTCGAAAATTTTGACACTCAGGTGTGTGTAGTACTTCCCTCCTGTTCGCATGTTATCTGAGGGTTGATGTTATTGGAGGCAGTTTTATTAGAATTAGTGGGAAACTGTTGTTCTTAGAGCCTTGCAAAGGTAAGGCCAACTCTACAAAATGTTCTAAGATAGAATTTTAAACATTATTCTCCTTAAAGTAATAATTGAATACAATTTAACCTTCTTTCTAAAAACTGACAGCAATATAATTGAAGGAAATCCCATTAGCTCCTCACTGTCTGGGCCCCATTAATGAAGGATGTAATTCCCCTTGGTAGAATTCTGTTCCTGATTCTGCTAGTTATGTGGGCTCTCACTTCCACATTGATGTGCAGGCTGGTAGGGAGACTGTAGGATTTATTTTAAAATTTGAAGCAGGGTTAAGGAAAGCAAAAGTTGTTGGGGAATGTGTAGTGAGAAAGATTGGATTTCTTGAGAGTCTATTATTTGCTAGCACAACCCAGCTAATTCATAGAATAATCCTCTGAGGGAGAGATTATCTTTATCCTACAAATAGGTCTCAGAGAGGTTAAGGAACTTGCCCAAAGTCACACACCTAAAAAGTGGCACAATTTTGCTTTAGCCCTATGTTTGCTTGCTTCTGAAATCCATGCTCTTTCTTCTATATAATACTGCCATTCAGAAAGATATTCTATAAAAAAGAACGAAGCACTGAGACATGCTAACATATGGATAAACCTCAAAAAAAGTATGCTATATGTAAGAAGCCAGTCACAAAATACCACATGTTATATGATTTCATTTACATGAAATGCTCAGAGAAAGCAAATCTGTAAGAAATAGAAAGTAGATTAGTCGTTGCCTAGGGCTGGGGGTGGGAACAGAGAGTGATTGCAAATGAGCTTGAGGGGTCTTTTTGGGTGATAGAAATGTTCAAAATTAAATTGTGATGGTTGTGCAACTGTAGATTTACTAAAAATCATTGAATTGTACTAATAAAGTATGTGAATTTTATGGTATGTACAGTATACCTCAATAAGTGTTTTCTTAAAAAGATATGATCACCATCACCATAATTAACACTTGCCCGTTGTAGTATTTGTCCTTTTCTACACATGTAGCATTTAGTAAAAGCAATATGAGCTATAAGGGATAGGGAAAAATAAAACTTGGCACTCCATGCATTCATCAAAATGCTTGTCTGATAGCTAGCATCTAAGCACCAGTGTTTGCTCCGTGTAGGAATACAGGTAGGGGAAAGAAGTAAATGAATTCACTAATTTCTTAACAACACAAACTACTCATTTCTCATCTAACATCCGGCTTTGAGGCCAGAAGGAGACAGGGTTTAAGGTGGAGAGGATAAAAAGAGGATGAGTCAGGATAAATAGGAAGAGAAAAAACAATGCTTTCAAATTAACAAACCGCAGATGGCTCCAGCCCTTGTGTTCCTAACCAATTGAAACCCTCAAGGACTAGTGACCACAAAAGAGGAAAACTCTGTTTTTCACTGACTGGCTATGGGTTAGAAGGTCATTTTCATACACACGATCAAAACACTTTCTCAAATTATGTTTAGATCAACAGAAGTTCGGACACGGCCTTTTCTTTCAAAGGCATCTGATGTTTTCTGTTCTGAGCTAACCAGGTGACTCTGAAGTCTCCTCTGACTTGCTTGATTTACCACGGTTATTGTACCTTTACAATGTTGATCCTCTCCTAGATATTAAAGCTAAGAGGGCTTTAAATATCACTTGGTAGAGTGGTCCCCAAACTTGTTTTAGCAGCAGAATCCCCCCTTCAATAAACGCAGAAAGCCAGATTTATCAGGACAGTCAAAGTGGCATTGCTTGGTACTGCTTGTGTGTGTGTGTGTGTGTGTGTGCGCGCACGCGCACACACACGCATGCAAAGGTAGGTGGCTATCTGGACCTTGTCTCCATGGACTTCTTTCCTGTAATGACTTCTGAGAACTTGGGAGAATCCCTAGGACCCCATGGCACAGAAAGTACTGATCTAGCACAATTACCTTGTTTGTATTTGAGGAGTCTGAGATTTAGAGGATTTAGATGACTTTAGAGGCAACTTGGGCAAGTATATGTGAACATTTTGCAGTCAGGCCTGGACTGGATATTGTCTTTTGTGACCTTGATGGAATTATATTTAACTCTAAACCTCAGTTTGCTCACCTATAAACTAGGTGTCATGTTCACTCATGTAGTAGTTGAGAGGATTAAGGGAGCCACATATGTGATGCCCGGCCTACCTATGGCACTCTGCCAGTCCGAGGCTGCCCTACGACTAGAACCCAGGTCTCTCACTTCCTGGTCTAGTGCCTGCTCTGTCAACCACACCACCTCCTGAAAATGAAGAGAGAGCACAGCACACACACCAGCTATGGGTGACTCAGAGGAACCAATATCCCTCAACAAACCCCGAGAGTTTATGCTATAGCTGGTAAACTAGGAGTTCTTTTCCTATACTGCTTCTGTGGTGTCTGTTGCACTAGATCTTTACACCACTACCTTCTGTTAGTGGCTGCTGACAAGAGGGAAAGTGAATTAAATATGATACGTGAGAGGCAGCATATATTGTGATGGGAAAGAGCACTGACCGTAAATCGATTAGACCTGGATAAAATCCTGGCTTTACCGCTTACTGGGGATACATGTATATTGATATATAAATTGCTTCACAGGGTGATATGGTATAGTGGTTAAGCACATAGACTTTGGAGCTAAATTGCCAGTGTTCAAATCTCAGCCTTACCATTCACAAAATAGTGTGACCTTGGGCAAAGATATTATCTTTCCTAAGTTTTCTAATCAGCAAAATGGTAAATAATAGGACCAAATCATATGGTATTATGAGGACTAAGTTAACATCCACCAAGTATTTAAAAGACTGCCTAGCAAACAGTAAATGCTATTAAGTTCAAGTTAGTGTTAATGTAATTACTAATAAAATTAAAATTCAGGTGATTAAGATACGTTTATATAAAAATATAGCCATCAAATACTTTTCAAATATTTTGGCTGGAATAAATTTTTGCTTACCTTAGTTTCTTACATCACGCTGTGATGAATTTT